CTAACAGTTCCAGACAGTCACTCTGGGTCTGGGCTGACACTTTTAACCGTTCTCTTATCTGATCATAGGGCAAGCCGGACCCCTGCCGTCCGTAGGGTAGGCCACCCGCCAATGACGGGTGCGCTCGAGTGCGATGCATAGCCTGACTACCAGGCGTTATTCCTTCAAACTGGTTGTAACATCTCTTTTCTCTTTATGATATTGCAAACCGATTCAGATTTTTACTTTTAGAAAACAATGCATGAGTCGTCCAAGCCACATGGTTATCGAGCATCCGGCACTGGGCGCTGTAGGTCGGGTCGGGTGCCTGCCCGCGGTCACCAAGTAGCGGGCCGACCAACGGCACCGCACTTACCCTGTACTTTGTTTCACACCTTGAAAGACAATAAGCTTCCCAACAACCGCATCAAAGACGCGGCAGGTGGCCACACTAAGGTCAAAGGCGAGGACCCCCACGGCCGGGCGGCGTCCGCAGCCTCTGCTCGCTCTCTGGTGTCGGTCCCCGTCCCCCGCCACCGCTGGCCACGCGAAACTATGCTCTTTTGATTTCCCCGCCAGAGTGCGCGCGCGCGCGTTGCGAAGGGAAAGGGGAAAGGAGAAAGGAGGGGGGGGGGGGGCTCGGCCCGAGTCCAAGGTCCAAGTCCGACATGCACCCGGGCGAGCGGGCGGAGCGGGCCACCTCTTGCGTCTCGCTGGCCGCCGCGTACTAGGGGGAACCGAACGGTTAACCGACGCAAGTCCGCAGTGTCGAACACACAGTCACAAACACCGCACCTAAGGTCTCAGACCACGAAAACCAACTCATCTCCGGGCTAGCGCAGTACACGACGCCAGAAACCTCACCATAGGCTACCGCATGAAGCACGCGATGCCACTTCACCAAATCTTCGAACACAAGGCACAAAATAAAACGCCCTAAAACACGACCTACGACGGGGCCACTCAGCGCGCGGGCGCATTTCATGCATGGATAAAATACTTGTACCCATAGGTAACAATAAAACCACCCTACTCCCCACCCAAGCCATCACATCCCTCGTGGAAGGCACCCCGCTCTTTTATTGCTCTGCTTTAGTGTGGGCTGACCATATGGGGGCCAGAATCTGTGAACGCCAAGTACCAGTTGAAAATACTGTACGTATGTAATTTTTACTCTTAACTACTTAAATTCTTAAAAAAGAATAAAACCGTACAAGTGTAGGGTTTTTGTCTACTAATCTGAATTTTTCTCCCTGCAGGATAATAATTATGAACACAAAATTAAGCACAACAATAAGCAAAATCCACATATCCATAAGCAAATCGTTAATAAATACTCCTAGCATACCAGGTTTGACTACAGTGAACAATTGTAAATATCCCTTCTATTCAAATACATGTACTAGGTTGGTGTTGGTACCAGGTGGCTGACTCAACTCACGCCGCGCACTTTCGTTGTTACAACGTGCACCCCATGCACACGAGCGTGTGGGTTGCCATAACACTGTGAGAACACTTGAAAGGGTTACAGGAAAATTTTCCATAATGTGTGTCGTAAGATAACAAATTGAAATGGAAAAATTACAAGCACTCCGTAACGACTTGGAACTCATTGATGCGCATTGACGAGCATGTAAATATGCTGCCGTAAATTTACAACATATTTTTTAAATCGAAAATACAAAATATGTTGTAAATTTAAGAAGATATTTTACACAGTGAAGGAGTCGTGGGCGGCGAGGATAGGCAAATCCGCCCACACCCGTGCATGCGGTACAGTATAACTACGAAAGGACGCGGCGTGAATCAGCCACTGTGAAAAATAGTCGTAGTTGGGGCTGTTACAAATTTACATCATAATTTGTAATTAAAATTACAACAAATGTTGTAAATTTGCAAGTGTTTTTAAACTGTGGCCATCGCCGTGCGCAGAACATTATTGGTGTTGCTTCTTACCTGGGCGTAGCGCAGCACGGCCTGCGGGCAGAAGTCTAGAAGGATACCGGTGGCTTCGCGGCCAGGCAGGCACAGTGCCTGAAGCGACAGGTTGCCGTACAGCTTGGGCTGGCCGCGCACGAAGCGCAGCACCTCCGTGACGCAGGCGCGTGGCAGGCGGCCGCTGCACAGCACCGCCTGCGACAGATGATACATTTGGAACATTTTACACTGAAACCGCAACTAGTAGGAAATATTGCTTTTTAAGGTGTAATTATGCGTCAGCAGGGGACGGAGGACGGACCCTTTGGCGCCGAAATTTCGTCTGTTCTGTCGTACCGGGGTCATCAAAGCAGACGCACGAGCGTTGCAGGTTGCCATGCCATGCGGCCGAAATGGGTACAATATCCCGCAACACTGCAGCGTTCGCTCTGAAACACCCGGAATATCTCACCGTTAAGGCGCTAGTGCGGGGTCTTTGATCAAACTAAGGCTGACCTACGGTCAGTTCAGGTAAGGTCCAGTCGGTCACACCTGAGTAAAAGGTCGCTCCATAGTTCAGTTTCACAACCCTCATTGTCGAGGTTGTTAAAGTTTCGGGTGCACGGCATGGCGCGGCCGAGCCGAGCGCGGAGCGCGGCACAGCCAGCACTGCTGCTGTTACCTCGGGGGCGGAGGGGGCGGGGCGGGAGTGCCTGGTAGGCAGACCCGCATGCCCCGCGTGCTCGGCGGGACTGCCTACGCTACGATTCGCAGGGGCCGTGTCCTGTTCGCCCGCGCTCCGCGCCGCTGTGCCAGAAAGTGTGGCTACGACAATAGGGGCCCACATGCTCGCCCACGGGCCAGGCACAGCTGCAGCGGTGGGTCTCTCTCTCCCTCTTCTCCTCCTTCCTCGTCACCTACCTGCAGCTTCCTGAGGCTGAGCTTCTTGTGGTCGCTGCCGGGCTGAGGCTGCGGCGGCGCCTGCTTGACCGGCGAGGCCAGACGCTCGGCGAGGTCGGCAGCGAAGGGTGGCATGGCGTCAAGAAAGGGCAGTCGGTCCGCGTCCAGCAGCACGAGGGGCAAGGGCTCCGGCTGCACGCTGCCCGGCTGGGGTGCGCACGGCGCCTGCAGGTCGCTCAAGTAAGAGCGCACCAGGATCTGCAGGGGGATCATCGTATTGTTGACCTCACACTTTCCACGAAATGGCTACCGGCTTGAGTACTGGCCAACTTGTTCATTCACTCTACCTTCAGCGCCTCCTCGGTGGCCAGATCCATGTGCACATCGACGGGGTGGGTGGCGAAGAAGGCGGCAAAGAATGTCTCCAGGAAGCGCTGGAAAACGACGCTCACCACAGAGCCGTTCGAGCCGCTCGAACCAATCTGTGTCGAGAGGTGGTCCAGCATCATCTGCGTCGGACAGGGATAAGAGAGAGAGAGAGAGAGAGAGAGCTGCACATCGTACTGAGACCGACAATCGTCTGACCTACGCACCGACAGAATCTCACATTACCTTTAGGATTCTAGCCAGAGATATGGTCTCGGCCGCTACCAGCTTGGCGAAGAGAGCGGCCACGTCGTGCGGTCGGCGCTCCATGAGCACGGTGGCCAGCTCGGACAGCCCGGGCCCGTCCAACAGCAACTCCCAGTGCTGGAGCATCTCCGGGAGCAGGGCGTCGGCCGCGAGTGCCTGGAGGGCGGCGAGCACCTCAGACACCCCCGGCCCGGCCGCCGACACGGCCCCGACCTGGACCTCGAGTACCAGTACGGCCAGCACTACGCAGGCACTCGCCTCCCTGGAGGGGTCGAATGAACACGGAGTGTTACAGGCGACAGTGTGACACGTTTGGGTGGCGTAAGGCTCCCGCCGAAAGGCAGGACATCTACAGGGGTCATTTCCAGAGCACCAGAAATCACGTTCAGATCCTCACCCAATGGCGGGGGCGCGCGCGCGAAGCAGGGTCAGCGTCCGGGAAGCGGAGTACTCCCGCAGCATCCGGGCGCGCAGCACGAGCGAGGCCAGCTTCTCCAGCGCCTCGGCGGGGCCCTCCGCGACCTCCTCGTCCTTCTCCAGCAGCTCCAGCAGCTGGCCCGTCAGCAGGCGGGCGCCCTGGTCGTCCAGCGCCTCCTCAGGTTGCCGCGGCTGCAGCACCTCGGCCTCCAGGTAGTGGACCTGCATGCATGGATGGGTCATAAGCGTCGCGTCGTTGCTCGACGAGCCTTCTCACACACGGTCGCCCACCTGGCCGCGGTGCAGCTGCGAGCGCAGGCCGATGCGCAGCGCGGCGCCGTCGTCCTCGCCCCGCTCGTCCTCCGGCAGGCCCTCCATGCCCGGCAGCGCGGCGGGCTGCCCCAGGCGGTGCGCGTGCCGCCGCATCCTGTGCAGCACGCGCTGCGGCGGCAGCCGGGCCATGCGGTAGTAGCGCGCCGCGAGGTCGCGCTCCGCCGCCTCGTCCGAGAGCATGTGGAAGTCGCCCAGGTGGGCGCAGGACTCGCGGTACAGCGCCTGTGGACAGGGTAGAAAGACAGGTGAGAGAGTGTTGCCAGCACGTCGGCCCGGGGTGGTTCAAAACCTCCCGTCGTTTGAAAGTCTGTATTAGAGGTCGGCAGGAGCAATCCAAGTTACATATGACACCTTCGGTTTTTATCACAAAAATTAACACCAGTCTCTGACGACCATTTGTAAATTCAAGTTTTGCCCCTCTTCTTCAGCGCGTGACAGGGGGTCTGAATCATGAGAATTTCTGACCGTAACAGCACAAACACAGCTTACCAGCAGTGCCTCCTCGTTCTCCTCGGGGGTTCTGACGGGAGCGGGCGCGGCGGCGCCGGGCTGGTCACTGAGCAGCCGTGCTGACGCCAGGACGCAGTGCGCCTCGCCCAGCAGGTGGCAGTACGTAGACGGCGAGGCCACGCGGTGGCTCTCGCCGACTGCCACCATGTCCGAGAAGAGCACCTGGAAGCACAAGGGCGCCGTTACGAATCATGCGCTCGAAACACGTCACGAGCGTAAGACGCGGCCGGCAGTAGAGCCTCCTCTCACCTCGGGCGTCGGGAGGCGGAGCGAGTACAGGGTCCATGGGCTGGGGGTGGACGCCGACCGGGCGGGCACGGGTGGAGGCGGCGACCCGCCCTCCGAGGTGGCCAGGAGGACGAGGTACGGCCCCGAGGCGAGCAGGTGCCGCGCGCCCAGGAAGGGCCGCAGACCTATGAGGCAGATCGGGTCGTCGGCGGGCGGGCACACGCCCTGCAGCGAGGCGAGCGCGCGGTGCGCCGAGCGCAGCGTGTACGTCTCGAGGCCCGTGTCCGTGAGGGCGTGCAGCGCCAGCGGCTCCAGGACGACGCGCGACACGGGCGCCGTGAAGGGGTACACGGCGACGCACGGGTGCGCGGGCGGGGTCGAGCCGTCCATGGGGAAATGGTACAGGTAGCCCTCCTGCTGGGTGGCCACGAGGCACGCCACGCCGCACAGCTGCGCGCGGTCCTGCGAGTTGAGCCACGCGCCGGGGGCGGGCGGCGACTTGTGTTGGCGGCCAGCCCTGCGACCCGCGCTGCCGCCCCCGCCAATGGGGCCGGGGGCGGAGGACCGCCGGTACAGCGGCTGCAGGGTCAGGCAACCGAACTCCTCGCCATGGCCGCCCTGCGGAGGACAGAAGGTTTCAAGTCAGCGCCTTGCCGTTCAGCGACGCGCCTCAGCAGGTTATATATGGCCAACACATGTCGATTACCCACCTGCGGGTCCCCGGCCAGCTGCAGTCGGAGCAGTGCCTCGACGTTGAAGTCCGAGGCGCCGCCAAAGACGTTGGCCGCCACGTCCGAGGGGTCCGACACGAAGGGGTTGCTGTGGTGCACCACCCCGCTGCCGGGACTACAGTGGCCTCGGCTCGCCCGCTCCGCCGCGATGGCCGGCAGCTGCACAGTGACGGGCAGCGACACGCCCAGGGAGGCGCCGCCCGAGCCCCAGGACCGACGCCCAGAGTTCACCTGCGGCACAAGGAGGTGGGGGGAGGGGTTAGCACTCGCGACTACAACATCACCGGTGGATTGTCGGACCACACCTCACCGCGGGAGCACGTACCTCCTGCTCGACTTGGAGGATTTGCTTCAGGTTGAGCGCCTGGTGGTTGGCGTGACAGCGTCGATGGCTGCCTGCTCCGGAGTCCTCGACCCGCCCGCTCTTGTCATCAGCGCCTGCCCCGGCGACAGCCCCGGAGTCCTGCGAGTGCCGCAGTCGGAACACGAGCAGAGAGTGCCGTCCCATGCAGACCGCCAGCTCCTCGCACAGGAACGTCTGGATGGGGGTGAAGCTGAGCGACACGCGGACCTCCGTGTCCTCGAAGTCAATGTACCGCGTCCTGGAACGGGGATGGTAATCCTCATGATACCGTGCGCTCCAGCACTCTACAGCCTGCCATGGGCGACTGCGCAGCCTCACCTAGAGGATTCGTGCGTGCGAACAATGTAGCGGAAGAGGACCAGGATACGATGGCATGCCACCATAACGTTGCCGGTCGCCTGGCAGCACGCCAGTGCCGTTGCGCCGCCTCGGCCTCTGACGGGGAGCTCTATCATGTCCAGGGAGCCGCGCGCGTCGTCCTGGCTGGGGCTGGGCGTCACACAGCCCGCGATGCGCGCGCGCATGGGCTGGCTCTGCGCCGCGGGGGCGGAGGAAGCCATGGCTTGCAGGTCCCACCGTGAATACACGCGGGCCACGCAGCCCTGTCCGCCCTGAGGGCCGCTGGGCGCCCCCTCCAGCGTCGCCACGTAGTTTCCTAATAAAAACGGTGGTGATAGAGAAATGCGCAAGATTGTGGCGCTGGCACAAGCAAGTGACATTTGTACCTGTGGAGCAGTAAGACATGTGTTGTACAAGGTCAACCGTGGGGAAGGACGAGACAGCTTCCCCACCCTTTGACAAGTCACGAACCTCCACAACATGGTTAGCAGATGCTATAAGAAGTCTGAAAGATTTCCATAGAGGAAGATAAAAAATAACATAAGGTGCACCAGCAAGGAAGTAGAAAATCATATCAGATATGAAACGACATAATTTCAGAACGTACTTGTCAGGAGGAACTGCTGTTACGGCAACTGGATCTTCACAAGTTTGTATATCTTGACTAGCAAAATGGTGAGCAGTTAGTACACGAACCATCTGTTGAACAATAAAAGTTATACATAGAGAAGAAGCAAAGTCCTCCATTTACAGTGTTTACGTTCAGAAGCCCGTTAAGACATTATTTAAAACATGAATAGAAAAGAATGGTTTGGAAATATTAAGCTTGTTTCAAATAAAATCCACTGATTGTGCAAAATGATTTCAAAACATGTTAATCGAAGACAAATATTTTCTTAAATTGAAATAGATGAAAGCCCATAACCCTCACTAACCCGAATCTCATTGTTTACAGTCAGTTATATAGTTTCGAGATACTAAAAACGAAAAGAGAAACAGAAGAAAAATAAAAAAAAGATTGCTACCTTAACTGAAAGTAGTAATTCTAATGAATTACGTTCGTTCCTTTTATTATTATGTAATATGATATCTCATTGATGTGGTTAGGTGTCGTCGTCTGCTGCTGTCTACTCCTAGCATGAACTTTTTCATACGTTACGTTACAATGTATGAAAACATTGTACATCTCAAGCGCGGCGTCGTCTGATTCTCATTTCACAAACCAAACCTATATTTATTCGCCCCTTTCATCGAGCTCACAATAATTGTGTTTTCTGTTATTGCTGAGACTCTTAATCTCCACAGGCAAGTACTCTTTTGTAATGCAATTCCTTATAAACTTTTGTCTCTTGTAGTATGGTGTAGGTATAGGTTACGCAAATCAGCTGCTACATCCTTTTACTTGTTTTCAGTTCAAAGAGTTTGGAACAACCAAAATGGTGAAAATTGCTTTACAAATGAAAGCCCAGCTCGAAAGTATTGATGCTATTTATGCGTCACAACCTGAATTCCGGTATTTCATGAAGATGAAATGTCACAGCTGCAACGAAGAATCGGACAAGTGGCATGATGTTTCCCTGAGTGAGACTGCAGCATTGAAAAGTGGACGTGGTAACTGTAATTTTGCACTGAAGTGTAAATTTTGTGGGAAAGAGAACCAAATAGACATATTGAAGAAATCTGATCAAAAGTATGTCAAAGAAAAGGAGGGATCTTTTCAAACAATTGCTGAATTTGATTGCCGGGGTATGGAACCTATAGCGTTCTCCCCCAGGGAAGGATGGATCGCAGAGGCTAGAGAAGGTGGTCAAAAATTTGAAGATGTGGATCTATCTGATGGGGAATGGATAGACTATGATGACAGGTTGAAAGAGTCAGTTAGGGTTTATGAACTAGAATTTAAATTCATCAAAACTAAATGATTAAGTTTAATAAAGTCTAAGCACTAAAGTAAGTTTTACTAAGATTTCATGTCAACTCATCCTGGGCTACTAAAGAATTGCTGTAAAAATCACAGACACAATAAAGAATAAACTATTTAAATTATTAATTAAATCTACTTCTTACAATTTCCAGCATGTAATGTCACACTATAAATATTTTCTTATTCACTTATCGGCAAAACCGAGGGGTCATCAAAGACCAGACTCTTTCAATCAGGGAATTTGTTTGATATATTCTTGAAAATACACTGACTGGATGTTATTCTACTGTAAGTGAGTTTGCCTTGACAGAAAACTAGGATGTTGAATAATACTTCTAAAAAATTAAGAACACACAAAAAGAAGTACAAAACAGGTGTTATAATTAAATAATATAATAATAAATTAGTCTTGAAGTGCTATATACACTGTTTTAAATTAAACATTGACTAGAGAAGACAGCAAATGTGCTCTGCACTCATACATATACTGTATAAGAAAATAGTCCTCCTAAACTCAAAAGTACATTGTTTCTGTTCAAATAAGGATTATTATGATAAAAAGAAAAACAACAAAGAAAAAAACCATCACAACTTCTACAGAGAGGTGACTGAAGACACATCATAGGGTAGGTATCACACTTCAATCTTTAACATACTCCAATAACTCACCATTTGGCACAAACATTAGGGTTTCTCACATATACACAGTAAAGTCTAACTTTGCGCTACACACAGTTTTAAGTAAATAATTCATTTAAAGATTAACCTAGATTGGATTAATTTCAGGCAGTTAGTATATTGTGATTTAAGACTTTCCTACTACCATTTTCCTAAAGGGAATGCAAGGTGAGAGTCAGTCTTTGCTTTTGCTAGAGAATACACCTGAATGGGAAGACTTAAAACTGTACAATTGACTGGTCTTCTAAACTAAGGAGTGGAAGACTGAGGGTAGATACTACATGAAATGTATGGTCATGGTCACTCAATACAACGAGCTCCCTTTTTAAGCATTTAGTACAGAAATCTTGGCCAACACAAATATTATGTTTTAAAATGCCTTTTGCATAATGCCTACATCAGTAACACAAAATGTATCGAGATGTGAATTCTGCACTATTGACTGTAAAAATAAATAACTGAGACTGAACTAAATGTAGCTATGGGACACATTATATAGGTAAATCACAGCCAGTACATGGCACAGCATTCTTTACATCACAAAGAAAAGAATGTACTGTTTTACAAGTGCAACTTCAGTCCACCTCTTTTGGACAATCTAGAGTGGTATATTTGACCAATCAAAATTAACGCCACGGTGAGATTAACTCCGCTGTGTTTCTACCTGTTTGTTGCTAAGTAATCTGTAGTTTACCCATGTAGCAAAGATGAATAAGACCTATGACTAGCAAGGACACTAGTCTCATATTAGGATAAGAAATTAATAAAAGTTAAGGAAGCCAATCAAACCAAATTCAGAGACAGCTTTACATAGTAAGCAACAGTGAAATAGTTACAGGAACAATGCTTCCTGTTCACTCTAAAAACTGAATACTAAAAATATAACAATGTTAAGAATGGTACTGGTGAGGTCTGAAAGATTTTCAATGCATAGAATACAGAGATGATTGATTGATTGATTGGACTACAGGGGGAGTACGGTCGATAAAAATTAAATGGTACAAGTGACTGGTTTGATAAACAATTAGCACCATAAACACGTATTCTCCACTTATAAACACTTACATTTTCATCCAAGAGTCATCTATCCAAAAGACACTGTGGTTATGATACAGCTCTGGACTGGTCAAAGGTGTTAACAACCAAATCCATGCAAGAAGACCTACTACAAAGAGGAAGGAAACAAGATACCTCTGAGACTTTTTGTACGATAAAACTTCTGAGAAGTCTGGAAAACCCATATGGTTACAAAAAGCATGAACTATGCAAGGTGCAGCCAAATGACCAGTTCGGACGAAGAGAAAAGCTGAATATGCTCCAAACACAGTTGTGTACGACATTTGAAAAACTGTAAAGAGGACAAAAAAAACAAAACAAGAACCAATGAATTGAGTATAGCATTCTCTATTAGTTTCACGGGCTGCTGGTAATTGACCTTAGTACTTACTTGAAATAATGAGGGCATTTAAGAAGGGGATTCTTTCATATCTCATGCGGTCAACCATGTGGTGCAGGTGAGCTAAGATAGGCACAAATACGACAATGCATGATGGAGAGCAAGAAAATATTTAAAAGGTGAAGTGGTACCAGATTTGAAAAGAACTCACCAACACCAAAAAATAATGGTGCTATAAAAATAGCTTTGGAGGGTTGAAAACATTGTAGCAACAGAGGCATCATGCATCCACGGAATACAAACTCCTCTGCAATTGGAGCAACAACATGACTTCGTAAAAATGCTAAGTCAGAAAGGTTCCAAAACCAATACATAGGTTCTGAAATAAATGGAAATTTAGTCATTGATATCTCACGATATATAGTTCACAATATAAGGAACAAAGCACAGAATCTTCCACCATACCTGCATACAATCGCCAAAGTCCTGTTAGTCCTTGCATAGAGAGGGACCCCAAGAATAATATCATGGTCAGTAGCAATGGGTAAAATAATGCCTGGATTAGACCATCAAATCTCAATCCAAGTAGGTGCAACAAAGACGTCTGCAAAAGGGAAAAAAAGCAATAACATTTTTCTATAAACTAATGTCGAAGTGAAGGAAGAGTCAATGAAGAGTCAATTATTACACAGATAAATAGTTTAACATGTTTTTAAGGATAGAATCCATTCAGAAAATATGAAAGAAGAACAATATTTTTTAAACCTTTTAACAATTATTTTGAGTCAAATAATACCCTATTAAAATATTCATACCTTCTTCAAAATGTTGCTGTCCATAAACAGGTACACCACAGGCGGCGAAAGGCACATCATTGCAAATACACTATAGAATCTTTTGATGATGACAGCCGGGTGGTCCCTTTAAATAATTTGTTTTTATTAAAATGTTGTCTGATTATTCATTGCAATGTTGGTAGCCTGAGCACTGGTGCACAGCTGACTCACTTAAATTCATGCTACTTTCCCTTTATATTTCAGAACAATATATTTCTATCTCGATAATTACCTGCTTTCTCTTGTGCCCCATATGTATAAACTCAACACATAGAAGACCGACAAGAAGAAACACACTAAAACTGATGTTGCACATGCAGAAAATCCTCTGTAGACAGCCTCCATATTGACATGACACGGTCACGTGACGCAATGAAATTTTCTGATTCGTGCTCTCTTTGGTTGTGTCCGAATTCTCGGCCAGGCTCGTCCGTCGACCGTCAGCCGGGTTGTTGTGCGGCCGTTGCGAGCCGCGCCGGGCGCCATTCGGTTGGTACCAACTTGACAGGACAGCGCTAGTCGCGATGTGTCCTCGCGAGTCACCCCCGCGGGTCACCCCCAACGTGGGGGTGCATGTCCTCGCGCCCTGCGGCCTGTCACCTCGCGGGGCGCTCGCGGCCGTCACGGCCGTCGCGACCGTCGCGGCGCCGCGGGTGTTGGTAGCAGCCAGAGCGGCTGGCGCGGCTCGCAACGGCGGCAGAGCAACCCGGCCGACGGTCGACGGACGAGCTTGGCCAAGAATTCGGACACAACCATTGCTTCCGTCTTCAGAAGGAGAAAATGGCCGC